CAGTAACTGGGATGTCGTACTGCCGCAACTTCTTGGCTAACGATTTGCGGACCTTGGGGGTGGAGCCGATGAGGACCGTCTTGTCAGAGATAGGCAGCTCGAACTCCTTTAGACCGTCGCAGAGCGTCTTGGCGGCACGGGGGAGGTGCTTCTGTAGTGTGCGTAGGACTCCTTCGACTCGAAGAACAGTGTCGTCTACGAAGGTCCACATCTGGGCTAGCTCTGCCTGAGCTTGGGCTTGCCGTAGAATAGGAAGTACAATGAGTCGTGCCAAGGTCGTGCCGTGAGGGGAGCCTGCGATGATGCCTTTGGAGGCGAAGATAGGCATACTCACCCATTGTCGACTGCGCAAGAATCTGGGCGCCAGGTATAGCTGTACTTCCAGTAGTAGAATGATGGGGGGAAAGCCGCAGTTGAGGCCGACCATAATGAGGTTGGCGAGCTTGATATTGTCGTAGAACTTCTGGATGTCTAATAGCAATGTGGCTGACTGTATGCCCAGTGCTGGTGCTGTCTCGTCTAACAAGGCCCTGTGTAGGGCGGCCTGGAGAGCTGAGGAGCCTTTGATGGTTGTAGTCCAAAAGTCGTCCAGGCCTTGGGTCCAGGATGTAGATGCAGTCGATCTGATGCGAGACCAGAGTCTGGCCATGTGAGGCAGCATGCCGAGGACCCTGTCGCCTCCAGACTTCTTGGCTGCGAGGGCTGCAATAGTGCCTGCGATTTGTAGTGGCCAGATGCCTGTTTGCTCTACTGCGTTGAGGATATCCGCATAGGCTTCGACTGCTGGTTCTGGTAGTCGATGGAGGTCGCGAGGTCCAAGGGCGTCAACTCCATGTGCTTTACTGGGTGGCGTGCGGCCGTGAAAGCGGTGTACGATCTCTGCTGTGATGGGCTCGAGCGGTTGGCGAGCGGCTGCTGCCTTGGCCTTTGACAGCGCCTGTAGGATGTCGTCGGGGGTCTCGGTGGCTTGCCATACTTGTTGCCATTGTTGCTTCTTGCTGTCCATGATAACGGTGGGGTCGGCGATGGTCAGGTTGGTCGTGTAGGCCTCGATGTGACGTACGGGCGCAGGCTTGACATGGGCGTGTAGTACTCCAGGGCGGTGTTTCCATTGCTTGGCGAGCCAAGCACCGTATGCCCTCTTGGGCTTGGCGAGGGCGGCGGAGAGCGCTCTGGAGGCCCAAGTAGCGGTAATAGTGACCAAGTCGTCGGTGTCCTCATTGCCCAAGTGCGGGGCCCAGACGGGTGCAAACCAGCGGAAAATGGTGTCCTCGTCCTTCTCGAACTGGAGGTCCTGAAAGTGAGTGTTGAAGTGGTCCGCGCGCTGCTGGATGATGGAGGCCTGCTGCTGCATGAGCGCTGTGTGCTTGGGCTTGTCGTGAAGCGCAGCGTAGCGCTTGATGAGGGTGAGCGTGATTGCCCACCATTCCGACTGAGGGTCATGTACGTGTACGCGGCCTGGGGCGGCGGCCGTCTTCTTCCAAGACAATTGGTAGCCTTGGGCTCGGCCTGTGAATGCTGCGGCTTCCTTCGGGTCGATCTGGTGGTGGCTGATCATGGTGTTCTCGAGCGCCGTGACCCATTTGGCGTACTTGAGGTTGAGGTCGTCGGCGTCGTGCACCCAGTGAGTGTACACGAAGTGCGCATGAGGCTGCTTGCAACGTGTGGGTACAGCTTGCTGCCATTGTTCCTCCCAGAGGTCCCTCGGGATAGCGTAAGGGATAGGCTCCTGAGCTGCGGGCTCGTCTTGTGGCTGGAGTTGTGCTGCTGCTTGTTGGAGTTCAGGAGGTAGATCGCGTAGGCGTGCTGCTCGAGCTTCTGCTGTTTTACGTTTCTTGATGGCGGTCTTGCTGTTGGGGCCTGGTGGGATCCTAGGTCTGTCCACTGTGGGGAATGCCCTGGGGGTATGGATCGACTGATACCACCAGGGGTCTGCACTGCCTGCTCGAACTTCAAGGCCCACGTGGGTGGCCCAGGGTACGGTGGGGCACTGGCGAATGGAGATCGTGTGCTCGATGCCAGTCTTGACCAGTGCGAAGTCGAGCGTGAGTCCCTGGCCCTTGTCGCACGTGGCGGATCCAGGCGCTCGCGCGATGGTAGCATTCCATTTGGCGGGCCACTCTGTCGCTGCGAGTTGCTCAGGTGTCATATTCCAATCGGCCAGGATGATCCACGGGTCCGTGAGCATAGTAACGAAGGCACCCAGCGAAAGTAACTTATCGTGCACTGCACCCTCGATCTGTCTGTGGGGTTCCAGATACGCTGCAATAACAACCAGGTTGCTAGAGCGTCTGTGCCATACCATGAGCGTGAGGCCGCGGAACGGGTCGGGCCTGCGCTGGGAGATGGCCAGGTCGCGGAGGTGGTTGAAGGTTGTGGCCTGGACATGGTACCTGGAGAGGATAATCTCGCCACCCGTGTTGCCTCCGTCGGATCTGCTGGTCGGCGTGGCTGTAGTCGATGATATCCTCCAACCATCCGCTGCTAGCTTGTCGTAGATGAGAGGGGCTTTGCCATGCGAGATATGTGTTTCAACCAATGCCACCATCTGATATTGTTTGCCTGGCCCTGCCAGCCATTTCTCCGACTGTGGTCCCCACTGAGTAATGTTGGAGAAGAACAGGGAGTGATCTGACGGCGTGGGATTCGTAGGGCCTTCGTCTTGGTGGACGGGTCTGGGGTCGGGTCTCGGACTGCTGGGCATCCATGGGCCTTTCACAGCGGTCAAGTCGACAGCTTTCGCCATCTCATCGCCCCCTACCAAGGACTGCGTCTTGGGCGGGGCGGCATCAGGGTGCGCCGTTGGCAACGGCTCCCCTGGTACCTGTACCATATGCCTGTCGACAGCTTGGGCCGTCTCATCGCTCCCTACCGAGGACAGCGTCTCGGGCGGAGCGGCATCAGGGTCGGCTCGCGCGGCGCGCTGCGGCTGCCCTGGGTCCCATGTCACTGTGTCGACGGACTGTGCCGCCTCATCGCCCCCAACCGAGGACAGCGTCTCGGGCGGGGCGGTAGCGTACTGAGCTGTGGCTGCGAAAACGATGTGGGCGTCCAACTCGGCCAGCTCGTCGAACGGGTCGAGGGCTGCGCCCATTGTGTTGATGATCGGTGGGTTGTCGTAGCTCTTGGTCTCTGACGGTAGGCGTCCCGTCTCACCATTCCGTCCAGGGTCGGGTAGTAGGCGGCTAAAGAGGCTGCTGCGCTCCAGCCGCGGCGGTCGCGGTGGGCTTGCGCATCTGGCTGAGCATCTTCTGTGCCTTGTCTTCGAGGTCGGGGTCCTTGTTGATGGCTGGTACAGGCTGTGCGGCGAAGCTGCCGTCAGAATTAGCGCCAGAAGCAGGTGCGGGAGGCTCATCGCTTGGCGCCGCTGGCGAAGAGGCCGCAGAACCATCAGCGTCCGCTGCGGCTGCCGCTGGGGGTTCGCCTGCTGCCGCCGAGGCGGCGGGCGGTGGTCCACCTCCCTCTCGGGCGTGACCGTCCTCGTCGGACCGCTGCCGCTTGGAGGCGAAGCGCGTGCGCATGGTGCTGGCCTCTGCGCGGAGCTGGCTGATGCGGCTGGCGGTGTTGCCGAAGAGCTCGGTGACCTTGGCCTTGAGCTCCGTGGCGAAGCGCTGTTGGAGGGATTCCCAAGCCTGGCGGTCACTGTCGTCGATGTCGAGGCCTTGGAGATCGAACGCCGAACCCGCTTCGATGGAGATGTCACCGTCCTCGAGGAGGCTGGTGAGGTTGAACGTCGGGTTCTGCTGCGAGGTCGTGGGAGTAGCAGTGCCGCCCTTGCGGGCGACTTGGAGTGCATCGAGAGCGGCTTGGGCCTCGGCCTGGGCTTCCGCCAACTTGTAGGCGGCCTCCTCCGACGCCGCCTTGCGCTCGGTGTACCAGCTGAGCGCCTTTTGCTCGCTCTCGAGCAGCCTCTCCAGGTTGTTCTTGCAGCGGCGCTCCGTAGCCTGGGCGCGGCTGTAGATGTCGTTGAGGTCGGCTGGCTTCTGCGGCTGGGGCGGAGGAATCTGCGACTTGATGCCGTCGATGGCTGCCTTGTCGATGTGGGGGGCGATCGCCTGGAGCTCCGCAAGGATGTCCTCCGCGGAGCGCGCCTTGGGGGTGTCGTTCTTGTTGGCCCACCAGTCGTCCTCTTGGTTCTTGCCATTGCCATTGCCGCGGCGGCGGCGGGTCTTGGGCCATGAAGACCACGGTTCCCATCCACCCTCGGGGCTGGGCTGCTGGGTGCAGCTGGAGTCGGCCTGGGCTGCGGCCTTGGCGCGGGCCGCCCAGGCACCTTGAACTGGAGGCGGGGAATCTGTCCACGGCGCCAAGGCTTTGCTGCACCAGTAGCACGTCTGGTTGGTCTTATAGTTCCAGGCGTACGAGCAGGAGTAGCACTTGACGTAGGCGCTGCGCTGCTGCGGGGGCGCCATGGACGGGCTGAGGAACAGAGGAAGCTCACCTGCGGGCTGCAGGAGGCACACGGAGAGTTGAACAAAGCTGTCGGGCTCAAGAGCCCTGGCACTGGCCGCGGACTAGCGGTATCCACTTGTTCCACTGTGGAACTAGGCATCTTGAGCCAAAATGGCTACGGTACGAAGAGGAGGAGGAGGAGGAGGAGGAGGAGGAGGAGGAGGAGGAGGAGGAGGAGGAGGAGGAGGAGGAGGAGGAGGAGGAGGAGGAGGAGGAGGAGGAGGAGGAGGAGGAGGAGGAGGGAGGAGGAGGGGAGGAGGAGGAGGAGGAGGAGGAGGAGGAGGAGGAGGAGGAGGAGGAGGAGAGAGAGGAGAAGGAGAGGAGGAGGAGGAGGAGGAGGAGAGGGAGGAGGAGGAGGAGGAGGAGGAGGAGGAGGTGGGGGAGGAGGAGGAGGAGGAGGAGGAGGGAGGAGGAGGAGGAGGAGGAGGAGGAGGAGGAGGAGGGGGAGGAAGATGAGGAGGAGGAGGAGGAGGAGGAGGAGGAGGAGGAGGAGGACGGGGCGGGGGAGGCCGCGGCGGCGGAGCACAGCGCCGCCCAGAGGGGGGGTCCTCGTCGTCGGAAGAGTCGCTGTCCTCGCTTGGCGGCTGACTCTTGCAATAGCCGAGGCTCGAGGCCTCGCCGGGCGGAGGAGCACGGACAGTGGATCGGGGGATGGATGACCAAGATCCCCTGGCGCCATGAATCAACTCACTACTGACGGCTTTCTGCTGTTTTCGACCTCGGAAGGCCCTCGTCGGGCCCCGGGGCCGTCAGAAGATGACCCGGGATGGAAAGCTGGTCCCGGGGAGTGGGGCGAGACCTCTGGGGGTCGACATGATGAACAAACATCATGAGGCTGGGGGTCCGGGAGGATTTGCTTCATTCTGCGACACGGGCCCCTTTGCATCGCTCTAGTAGAGGAGCAACAAGCGGAATCAACATGAACTTTCGGAGGTCCCCACAGATTTCTTGGATCGGCGCGGGCATCCCCCTGGCCCGGCGCGCCCCGCGCGCCAGGGAGGGGGGGGGTCTGGCGCCGATCAAAAACATCCGCGCGGATCTCTGGATGTCTATGCTTACGCAAATATCTCTTCTGGGAACGTGTTAATAAAACACGATCGACCCACAAACCCGGAAAGGAATTTAGTACTGCGCGGCATGGGAACGTTTCCAAGCACCTCAATTTGGCGATGGGCAATGGCAGTGCTGAAAAATGAAGATATCAATGGTCATGATATTAGGCCAATGGCTACGTGTTGCTGCTCTGCGCTGTGCCGTCTCGCATGGTGTCGTGCCAAGGGCGCGCCACGGAACGTGCCAATGGAAGAAGCAAGGGACGCGCCAAGGGACATGCCGCGTTGAACTGTACCGCGCGCTGTTGCATTATGGGTCAAGCCATCCTTGGCGTCAGAATCCTGAACGAACTGATTTGAATGTTAAGCTCGAGCTGCCTGAACGCATAGTTCGGGCTAGTTGCAATCGAATCGCGCGGAGCGCTCGACCAGCTCGAGCTCAATATCCGATTCTGTTCCGCAGCCCTCGCCCGAGACACCCTCAGAATTTGCTCAGGTCAGCGTTTTATTATTCGGCGTTTCGGCCTTGGGCGGAAGGGGGGGGGAGGGGGGTGGTCTGGCTCCAGACATCTGCTTAGTGCCACTGTTTGCAGCAGTGCTCCCCATGGGGGAGACTCCACCCGCTCGAAACAGGCGCCAAACAAACAACCAAGATCCACTCCAAGGGGGGGGGAGGGAAAGTGCGAGGACCCGGGCCGATCGGCAAAAAGACGAATGAGAAAACGATCTGAGCCGAAGCGCCGACGACGACAACGACAGCCGACAACGACGACCGCGACCGCGGTTCCAGCTCGGCCCCCCCCCACGCTTAGGAACAAGGAAAGGCGACACCAACACCAACCGGGACGAGGAGAGGCGAGGAGGCAAGGGGGGTCTCCCTGGTGGTGGTTTTGCCCCCCCCCCCCCCCCTCTCGCTCGAGATATCCCCAGCCTCCAGCTCGGGGAGGCATCGTGGACCTCCTCGCTGGAGGTGGGCCCCCTGGTGGTGTTGGTGTCGCTTCTCTTCCCTCCGACACGCTGGGGGCGCCCAGACGACCACATGTTAGATACTCCCCCCTCGTGGGTGGCCCGCACACCTAGAAACACGTGGTTCCAGCTCGGGGCAACCATGTTAGATACCCCCATTTTGGGTGGCCCGGACATGTGAACACCCGTGGTTCCAGCTCGGGGCCACCATGTTAGATACATTTCTGGGTGGCCTGGACGTATGAAAACACCTGGTTCCAGACAGAGAGGCGAGAGGCAACCACGTGAGGTTACCCCTCCCCTGGCGGTCTGGGGACGTGAAAACACGCGGCTCCAACTCGGGACCGCCGTGTTAGATACCCCCCTGGGTGGCATGGACACGTGAAAATATATGGCTCCAGCTCGGGACCACCATGTTAGATATCCCCCCTGGGTGGCCTGAACACGTGAAAGCACGTGGTTCCTGCTCGGGACAGCCATGTTAGATATCCCTCTGGGTGGCCTGGACACACGAAAACACGTGAGGCTCGCTCGGGGCCACCATGTTGGATACCTTTATGGGTGGCCTGGGACAAGGAGAGAAGGTGGGTGGCTCCAGTTCGGGACCACCACATTAGATACCCCAGGTGGAAGTCTGTAAACTCTCTCGTCGAGGAAATTGTGTCAATTTATTATACATATTGTGTTGAACTTGTCTGCCTCTTGTGGGCCCCCACGCTGGGGGGTCTCCCCGACGAAGACATGTTAGATTCCCCCCTCCGTGGGTGGCCCGCACACGTAAAAACAAATGGTTCCGGCTCGGGGTAACCATGTTAGATACCCCCTGCGTGGCCTGGGCACGGGAAAACCACGTGGTTCCGGCTCGGCATCACAGTATTAGATACCCTTCTGGGGACATGTGAAGACATGTGGTTCCAGCTCGGGGCCACCATGTTAGATACCTTTTCTGGGTTGCCTGGACACATGAAAACACGTGGTTCCAGCTCGGGAAAATTATGTTAGATACCCCATGTGGAAATCTGGATAATCAGCAGCCGACGAAACTACGCAGAGTTATTACGCATCTGGGGTAGTTGTATTGATCTTGTTTGGCTCTTGTGGGCCCCCACGCTGGGCGCTACCAGACGACCACATGTTAGATACCCCTCCCGTGGATGGCCCGCACACGTAAAAACTTGCTTGGTTCCAGCTCGGGACCACCATGCTAGGTACCCCTTCTGGGTGGCCTGGTCATGTGAAAACACGTGGTTCAAGCGAGGGGCAAGCATGTTAGATACCCCGCTGGGTGGCCTAGACACGAGAGGGCACTTGGTTCACGCTCGGGACCACCATGTGAGATACCCCCCTGGGTGTCCCGCACGCGTGGAAACACTTGGTTCCATCTGGGGACAGCCCTGTTAGATACCCCCATGGGCAACCTGGGCATGGGAAAACAAGCATTGCGCCTGAGACATCCTCTGAACTCTGCCCCCCCCAGGAGAGGAGCCGTATGTATAAGACAAAACAGACATTTCGCTCGGGACGCCCTAACAATTCAATTCCGCTGGCTGTACGCGACCCCTTCTGGGTCGCCATGACACGTAAAAACACGTGATTCCAGCTTGCGACCACAATTTTAGGTATCTCTCTGGGTGGCCTGGACAAGTGCAGGCACGTGGTTCCAGCTCGGGACCACCATGTTCGACGTCCCCCTCTGGGTGGCCTGGACACGTGAAAACACGTGGTTCCAGCGAGGGACCACCATGTTAGACATCCCCCTCTGGGTGGCCTGGGCACGTGAAAACACGTGGTTCCAGCACGGGGCCGTCATGTAAGATACCTCTCGGGGTTGCCTGGACACGTGAGAACACGTGGCTCCAGCTCGGGACCACCATGTTCGATATCCAAGAGGGGGACACCTGGAAAACCACAAGCTGAAGAAACTGTGTCAAGTTATTACGCATCTGCATCGGTCAACTGATTTTGTCTTGCTCTTGTGGGCTCCCGCGGTGGCCCCAACACGTAAACAAAGTGGTTCTAGCTCGGGATAACCATGTCAGATACCCCCCCTGGGTGGCCTGGACACGTCAAAGTGTGTAGTTCCAGCAAGGGGCAACCATGTTAGATATCCCACTGGGTGGCCTGGAGGCGTAAAAGCACGCGCTTCCAACTCGGGACCATCACGTTAGACACCTCCCTGGGCGACCTGGGCACGTGAAAACAAGCATTTCACCTGAGGCATCCTCTGAATTCTGGCCCCCAAGAACGGAACGGAACGGAACGGAACGGAACGAGCGTTTCGCTCAAGACGTCCGCAACAAACGAGAACGTTAACTTTACCATGTGTTTTACAGATGAGAATTCAAACAAACCTATGTTTCGCTCGGGACATCTTCATCATTAAATTAACAAGGCCTACGCGACCTTTTTTGGCACAATAATTCGCCGGCCTGACAGGAACTTGGCATCGGGGCCAAATTTACCAACTAAAGCAACCTGTGGGCTCATGTCCTTTCCTGGAATAATAAAAACGTGGACCTCTGACATGATCGACCCACGAACCCGGAAAGGGATTTAGAAGTGCGAGGCATAGCAACGTTTCCAAGCACCTCAATTGGGCGATGGACAGTGGCGATGCTGAAGATATCAATGGTAATGATGTTCTGCCAAAGACTGTGTTGTGTTATCTGCGCTGTGCCGCGCCGCATAGCGACATGCCAAGGACGCGCCACGGAACGTGCCAGTGGAAGTGGCAGGACACGCGCCAGGGGAAATGCCTGTGCCGTGCGCTATTGCATTGTGGGTCAAGCTACCCTTGACGTCAGAATCCTGATCGAACTGATGTGGATCTTAAGCCTGAACAGTCTGAACATGTAGCTCGGGATAGTTGCATTCGAAACATGAGGGGCGCTCGACCAGCTCGAACTCAAGATCCGATTATGCTCCGCAACCCTCGCTCGAGACACCCTCACTGTTTGCTCATACATAGAGCTAGACGAACACATGTTTGAGATCTCCCTGTGTAGCCTTGCCGCGTGAAGACGTCGGTCCAACTCGGGGCAACCATGTTAGATGACCCTCTGGGCGGCGTGGACACGTGACAGCACGTGGCTCCAGCGAGGGGCAACCAAATATCCACCTGGGTGGCCTGGACACGTGAGAACACACGGCTTCAATTCGGGACCACCATGTTAGATACCCCAATGGGAAATCCGGAAAATCACCCGCCGAAGAAACTGCATTAGGTTATGATTTTGTCTGGCTCTTGTGGGTACCCACGCTAGGGGCGTCCAGACGACCACATGTTAGATGCCCCCCCCCCTGGGTGGCCCGCACATGTAAAAACATGCGGTTCCAGCTCGGGGTCACTATGTTAGATCTCCCCCTGGGTGGCCTGGACACGTGAAAACAAGTGGTTTCAACGAGGGGTAACCATGTTAGATATCCCCCTGGGTGGCCTGGACACGGAACGCACGTGGTTCCAGTTCGGGGCCACAATGTTAGATACCTCTGGGTGTCCTGGACACGTGAGAACAAATGGTTCCTACTCGAACCACACCATGCTAGATACCCCAGTCGGGCATATGGGAAATAACCAGCCGAATAATCGATGTCAGGTTCTTGCACATCTGATGTCGATCTATTGATTTTGTATGCTCTTGTGCCCGCCCCCCCCCCCCACACACACTGAGAGCGCCCGGGCGACAACATGTTAGATACTCCCCTTGGGTGGCCTGCACATGTAAAACAACGTGGTTCCAGCTTGGGGGCACCATATCAATACCCCTCTGGGTAGCCTGGACACGCGAAAACAAGATACCCCCCTGAAGGGCCTTGACACGGGGAAACCAAGGGTTTGCAGCTCGGGGTCACCATATTATATACCTTTATGGGTGGCATGGACACATGGAAACACAAGTTTCCAGCGATGGACACGAAGCAACCATAATAGAGACACCCCCTGGGTGGCCTGGACGCGTAGCTGCACGTGGTTCCAGCTCGGAACCACCATGACTGGTACAAACGCGCGGATCCAACTCGGGACCACGATGTTAGATACCCCTCTGGGTTGCACACGGTTCCAGTTCGGCACCACCATGTCAGGTACCCCAAGGGGAAAGCGAGACAATCACCAGCCGAAGAAGCTGTGCCAGGTTATTACACATCTGGTGCAGATCGGTTATTGGATTTGTATGAATCTTGCGGGCACCCACGCTTAAGGCGTCCAGGTGACCATATGTTAGATACCCCCCCATTGGGTGGCCTGCACACGTAAAAACACGCGGTTCCAGCTCGGAACCACAACATGCCACAACCTTGAAAATGTGCCCGCCCATCTATGCCCCCAACGAGCCCCCCCCAAGAGGGCCCAACGGAACACACATCAATGATTTCCTTAACTGTTCGAAAGATTTGGGCGTTCCCGCGTTTTCAACTTTTTTTCCGTCGCTCCAAGAAGGCCCGAGGAGCACCCCAAACCACCCCAACACGGCGTATCCTGGCCAGGGCTCTATCTGAAAAGGGGATAGGTTTTCCTGGTCATCGACAGAACCTTCCTGGCAGTGGAAAGCTGACAGCCAATCACTGTATTGAAACATCTGGAAATCATGCTTGAAGCCTGGATGATGATGTGCAAACTGTCAACGCAATGCGTCGGCGAGAGGCGAACTCGGCGGTCCAAAACTCGAACTCGACTCCGCATGCTCATGTGTGCTCGTCCGCATGGCACCTTGCGCAACAAGAATACCCATCTCGTCTACTGGAACCGACAAACCGTCCCTCTCGAAAATACGGGGCTATGCTGCCGTCATCTCGGGGGCCATCGCGAGGGACGTGGCGATGGTCCAACGCCTAAATGCGACGTCCAGGATACCTAGATCGCCGACTTCCGAGCAGACAAGGTGGTACGAGCTGCCCCCCCGCGGCACAGCCGGTGAAATGCCTGCAGAACGTGTTTTCTCCGAATGAGATCATTCCATCTGTTCTCTGGCAGACGACAACGGGCTCAGGAGTCGTGGGCACCGCGAATCCAAACACCGATTGATAGGTCTTGGCTTCCCGTGGCTGCGCAACAACTGAGCGATGACAAACGGCCCTTCTATTGCAGTAGAACTCGCAGACGCCGTCGCCGACGGAACACGAAGGGGGGACCGACTACTCTACGAATGTCTACACCAGGTGGCGCAAGCTGCAAACAGTACATTGACTCGTGCGCCTGACAGCCTCTGAAGGAACCCAAATTGGTTCTCTCCGGACGGCTTCAATGACAGGACGCTGGACATCCACGACACGAATGGACACCATATTTTAAACGAGCCAGACGCATAGCAATGGGGCGAAACGCGTGCACTGTCCTAGCCGTTGCGCTATTGCAGATTTGCTGGACTACGCACTGTGACTACGCTTTGCCAGACAAACGCTCTGAACCCTTTCTCACCAACAGAAGCTGTCATGCCCCTAGTACGCTGTTGAACAGATCATCCCCAGACCCTGCAACCTCTCGGTCACAACATATCTTCTTCGGACAACGATAAAGGCTTCTTTAAACGCTGGGTGACCGTCTCAAGAACGCTGGAACCTGCATAGGTAACTTCATTCTGCTGCACCGAATACTTCAACTCATGTCTATTCGGCCCCGGAAAAGAAACGAGATTGTGCTGTTCTACCTGAAGGGAGAAGATGAAAACGGACAACGATAACCACACATAAAACCGGAACACTAGACGCACACGCCCCAGTCGAGGTGGCAAGTCTGTCATGCGAACGTGGCCGAGACGCGGGCAGGCAATAAGAGAATGGGGGGGGACGGCGTGAAGGGGAAAGAAACGATGCGTAATGGTGACGGTAGAGATGACGAAGATGATGAAGCTCAAAGCCTGGCCGATCTCCTGTCCGAACCGCGAGATTACCACCGAGGGCTCCTGCGGGAGCGCAAGACGCTCCCAGCCATCCGATTCCCACCTCCCTGGCCGCACAGCCACCTGATGTAGATAGAAGACTTTCGATCGACACAAAAAAAACTTTCGCAAGTCCGCGCGGAGCTCTTGGCTCGGCGCTGGCCCCCCCCCGACTTCCCATGCCATCGGTACGAGTACTGATCTCGGCACCTCTACATGCCTAAATGTTGGCTGCTCTGCTACAGAACATCTCTACGCCTGTTGCAGAGCGAGTGTGGGAGCCGTAGTAGGAAGCAGAGCGCTAGGACACAGCCTCGCAGCCACAGGTCCAATGAGCCAGTGGTAGTGGAAAAGAGAACTGGGGGGAATCTGCATACGGTCACTTCACGAAGTCCGACAACACGGCCATGTGGACGGCCGGACCCTCTCGACGTGCGTGGTCCTTTTCAATCTCTACGGTCTTGAGCAGGGTGGTCGTCAAGCGGCGGTGTCATTCCAGGCAACTCCTCCTCTTCCACCTGCAGTGGACTGGTATGACATGTGGAGTGAGACTGCGCTGATGGGGCTCGTGCCCACGTTCTTCTCAATCTCCTCGCGCACCGCGCTTGCGACGCCGAGTGCGCATATTGCATTGCCGCCTCCTCACGGCAATGCCGGGCCACGACGGGTTGATCCCCTTCAACTTCTGCGCGGCATGAGATGTTCAAGCGCAATCGTCCTGCCCTTCACCGTCAAGACCGTCCCCGACCTCCCGTTCGTAAACGAAACCGTCGTACTCATACCCATCTGCATCACCGTCAATCTCCATCACCGTCACCGTCACCCCTGCGGTCATGGCCACATACTTTCATTCTGCAAATGGAAGGACCACACACATCTCCACCTGTGTATATATACAGAGAAAGAGAGAGAGAGAGAGAGAGAGGAAGAGAGAGAAAGAGAGAGACAACGAAACAGAGAGAGAGAGAGAGAACGAGAGAGAGAGAGAGCGAGAGAGACAGAGAGAAATACACACGCAAGCGTGTGCGCATACACCTAGGTGTGCACACATGAGTTGGTGTACATATAGTTATATACATGTATGTATGTATATATATATGTATGTATATACACATATATGTATGTTTAAATTACACGTGTGTATATATATACCTATATATACACCCATGTATATATATATACATGTATAGTGTAACCGTGTCTGCTCCTCGGCTTGTGTGTCTGATCGCTGGGCCATGCCATTCGGATTTTTCTGCATCGTTCCAACTGTTCATGGGTGGCCCCCAAACGGGAAGCCACAACGGGAAGCCAAGCACACACATGCATACATACATACATACAAACATAAACAACACAGATTCTGTATTCCCTACCTAGGCTCTGCCTAGAGGGTTCTTACTCTCTTAGGTTAAAGGGGCCGGGCAGTGTTCCCCGCCCCGGGCGGTTCCCCCGGTCCCCGCCCCGCGGTTCCCCCAGTTGCGCCCCCTGACCTTAGCTTTGCGTATCTCATCATCGCTTAGCTTAGCTAAGCTTAGCTTCATCTTAGCATAGCTTAGCTTCGTTTAGCTTAGCTCAGCTTTGCCTAACCTAGCCTAGCCTAGTTTAGCTTAGCTTAGGTTAACTTAGTGTGTAGCTTAGTTTAACTTAGCATATCTTAGCTTACCTTAGTTTAACGCAGCATAGTGCAGCGCAGCATTAGCACAGCATAGCATATCATAGCACACCCACGCATATCATGGTATATCACAGCACTGCTCATCATACCATCGCATAGCATAGCGCAGCATAACATAGCATGACGTTGCTTAGCATAACACAGCGCATCATAGCACAACGCAGCATAGCATAGCATATCGCAGTATAACATGGCATATCATCGCGCAACGTAGCATATCATTTCATAACCTAGCATAGCATAGCGCAACATAGCATATTATATCATCGCGCAGCGTAGCATATAATAGCATAGCATAGCACAGCATATCGTAGCCTAGCATAACACAACGCGGTCGAGCGTACCATAGCATAGCATAGCATAGCATAGCGCAGCACAGCATCCACTATTGCTGCTGCTACATATCTATATATTGTTTTCCTAGAGGCTCCAACTCCTAGGTAGGTCATGCCGGCGATCATCGCACCCGTGGGAGCAGAAGATACGGGCTCACGGGGGATGCTCAATGATTTGCCTGGCAAGCCCATGTATGGGGCTGCCTGGAGTTCTGACGGGGCCTCTGGCGGTACCTTCTTCGCGCGCTGGCGAAGCGTTTCAGGAGGTGAGGGAGGGGCACGAAACCTGAGAACTTTTAGAATATAGCCACACCCCGCTCGCTCGGGCGGGTCCGTCCTGCAAGGGTGGGGGGGAGCAAGAATCGGGTGAACAAATATGGTGTTGGGGTGCCCTGCTCTCCCTGGCGGTGGTTTCCCTGGCGCTCTGGCGGGGCTTGCCCAGGAGGGGAGGGAGGAGCACGACACCAGAAGAAAATTATGGTATAAGCACGCCCCGTGCGCTCTGACGGGGCTACCTCGGGTGCGGTGAGAGGAGCAAGACAGAACGGGCACTGTATATGGTATAGCAACCCCTCTCGCTCTGCCGGGGCCTGGGAGGGGCAACGCAACTTGTGAAATGATAAGGTATAGCGATGCCCCGATCGCTCTGGCGGGGCCTGCATGGCGCTCTGGCGGGGCCGCCCCAGGAGAGGAGGGAGGAGCACGAAAGCAGAGGGGTGAGGGGAGGAAGAGAGAGGAGGGAATGGAGGCAAGGGGAGGGGGCGGGAGGGAAGGAAGGACGGAGGGGGGAGGCCCGGAACATCTGGGCCGTCTTCGAGCGCCCTGGGGCCTCCCGCTCCCATTCTGTGTGTGGCCCATCCTGGGCCTGTCCTGGAGCCTCTTGGGCCATCTGGGGCTCCTCTTGGGCAATTTGCAGGCTCTCTGGAGCCATCTTGGGACTCTTTGGGGGGCGTCTTCGGCGGTCTTGGGGCGGTCTTGGGGGCGTCTTCGGCCGTCTTCGAGCATTGGAAGCTCGAGAACGCGGGCAAGCGAAAAACATAAAACAATACAGTGCAAATCAATGATTTGGGCCTCTTTGGGCTCTCTCGGGACGTCTCTCGGAGTTCTCTTGGAAGCCTCTTGGGCTGTGTGTTTGCCGTCTTGAGCTCCTCTATGGCCACGTTGGGATCATCTGGACCGTCCTGGAGCGCCTTGGGGCCTTCCGCTCCTGCTCTGGGACCCATCTTGTGCCTCTCCTGGGATTCTCTTGGGCAATCTTGGGCTGTTTTTGGGCAGTCTTCAGGCTCTCCGGGGCCGTCTTGGGGCTCTTTTTGGGGCCGCTTCGGCGGTAGTGGGGCAATCTGCGGGGCTTCTTCGGCCGTCTTGGAGCGTTGGAAGCTCGAGAACGCGAGCAAGCGAAAAACATTGAAAAGAGAACCGGAAATCAAGGATGTGGGCCTCTTCGGGCTCTCTCGGGGCGCCTCTCGGGGCTCTCTTGGGGCCTCTTGGAGGCCTCTTGGGCCGTGTACTGGCCGTGTTGGGCCCATCTGGGGCCCGTCTGGCGCTCTCTTGGGCCGTCTGAGGCTCCTCCTGAGCAATTTTCGGGCTCCCTGGGGCCGTCTTGGGGCTCTTTTTGGGGGCCTCTTCGGCGGTCTTGGGGCGGTCTTGGGGGCGCCGTCGGCCGTCTGAGAGCATCCGAAGGTCGAAAACGCGAGAAATCGAAACCAAAACAAACGAAATCAAGGATGTGGGCCTCTTCGGGCTCTCTCGGCACGCCTCTCGGAGCTCTCTTGAGGCCTCTTGGAGGCCTCTTGGGCTGTGTATTTGCGGTCTGGAGCCCATCTTGGGCCACGTTGGAGCTATCTGGGTTGTTTTGGAGGGGCTTGTCGAAGTCCCCCGGGGGCTTCTGGGAGCGACTTGGAGCTCTCTGGGGCAGTCTGGTGGCTCCACGGCCCCTCCGGGGTGCTCTGGGAGCGGTCTCGGAGGCCCGGGTCCCCCCATGCGCGCTCGGGGCCCAGCCCCAGGGCCCCCAGGCCTCGTGCGCGCGTGTGTGTGTGTGTGTGTGTGTGTGTGTGTGTGTGTGTGTGTGTGTGTGTGCGTGTGTGTGTGTGTTGTATGTATGTATGTATGTATGTCTGTCTGTCTGTCTGTCTGTCTGTATGTATGGATGGATGGATGGATGGATGGATGGATGGATGGATGTATGTATGTATGGATGTATATATATGTGTAGGTATATATACACAAACCATCGCGCGCACTTCGCGCGCGCTCAGGTTCTAGCAGGCCCCAGGCCTTGACGAGTTCACTGCTCCACTGGAGTAGTGAACCACAGATGGTTTGAACAGGAAGTGAAGAAGAGCCCATAACGCTGAACGCATTGTGGGCAGTGAGAAGTCCATGCATGTCAATCCGCATTGCATTCCAGAATACTTTCGGGGAAGATGGTTGCGTAGGAGGGCGGAGGCCTGATGAATCGGGCTCCCAGAAGGCCTTCTGGGAACATGGATTTTGGGGGCGTCTTGGGGCGCCTGTTGGGGCGTGCCGTCGTCGTCGTCGCCGTCGCCGTCGTCGTTGTCGTCGTCGTCGTAATGTCGTCGTCGCCTATTGGAGCGCGTCGTCGTCGCTGTCGTCGTCTTCGTCTTCGTCGTTTCGTCGTCGTCTTTGTAGTCGTCGGCTCAAGAAGACACTTGGGGCAAGAACGATCCGCGGAGAGCCGCGTGAAGGCGATCAGTCATGTTTCCAATCAACTTTCCAGACAACTCTCCAGTAGCGCGATGGTACTTCGGAGCCTCCGGAGACTCTTGGGCCCATGATGAACCACGTCCCCAGAAGGCTATTTGGTTTGGGGACATGATTTGTTGGGGTGTGTCGGGGGGCCTCTTGGGCGTCCCCTGGGGGCCCCTTGGGGACTCTTGGGGCTTCCTGGGGGCCTCTTGGGGGCCTCACGGGGCTTCGTGAGCCAGAGATTGTGAAATTATCGGCTCGCGGTCCCCCTCTGGGCCCCCTCTTGGGGCGCTCTTGGGGCACAATTGGGCTGTCGGGGGGACCCCCGAGGCCGTCTTAGTGCCCTCTTCGGGGCCTCGCGGGCCGTCTCGGAGCGATCTGAAGGGCCTCCGAGGCCATGCGCTGGGAAGCGGGACAAGCGAGAACGCCAAATGGAAAATTAATGAATTTTGCCTGCTAGGGTCCTCTTGGGGAGCCTCTTGAGTCCGTCCTGGAGCGCGTTGGAGTCTCGTCGGACGTCTTGAGGGCATCTTGAGCGTCTTCGGGGCCTCTTGGGACCCCCTTAGCCTGTCGTTGCCTGTTTCGGGGTGGGCCCAGGCGGTCTCGGGAGCTCTGAGACTCCCCCAAAACCCCCCGGGGGCGCCCATAGGGGGTATAGGCAGCGGCTCGGCCCTCCCCCCTGGCCTATTCCGATATGTGTATATATACATACATACATACATACATACATACATACATACATACATACATACATACTTACTTACTTACATGCATACATACATACATGCATACATGCATACATGCACACACGTGTATATCTTAGATACACACATATATATAGATATAGTTATAGTTCGATATATATATATGTATTCATACATCTCTATATATACCTATCTATCTATCTATCTATCTATCTATCTATCTATCTATCTATCTATCTATCTATATATCTACATATCTGTACATATCGATATATATAGCTATATATATACACACCTATATCTACATATCGATACATCGATCAGCCTATATATGTATGCTTCTAGCTATCTACACAGACGTACATGCATACACATATACACATACATACACATACATTCTTTCATACGCACATACATACAGACGTACGTACGTACGTACGTACATACACGAATCTATATATATATATATATATATCGATAGGCATGCCTCTATATACACATACACATATACCTATATGTGGATGTATGAACACAGATCTACTCACATGTGCCACCATCACTGCTCCCTGCTCCCTCGGGCTCGCGGTCAGATCCCGCTCGTCGAGGTGGATATCGACGTCCCACGACACCCGGTCATGGCTCTGCCGCTGGAGCACGCATTTGGTGGGATCCTTCCATGGCGGGGTCGCGTGCAGTGCTGCAGTCAATAGTTCGAGTGGGGTGCGACGGGACGTCATGAGGAACAACCTGGAGGCTTCGCGCGGCAACTTGACACCCGATTGCCCCTGATTCACGCTGGATGTACGTCGGACCCACGTCGGATTTACGTCAAATCATCGCCGCGCGAACGTCGTCCCGTATCTGACGGGGAGGCCGTGTGGACTAAATCGTGCAGCTACTGCGCTCCGCGCGGGGCCCCCAGGATTGCCCTCAGAGGGGGAGGGAGAATGGGGTGGGTCAGGAGCGAACTAGAGGGGGCGGGCCAGGCAGGGCGGGGATGACACCAGTGCCACCAGCATGGGGCAAAATAGGCTGAACGGGCTCAGGCAAGGAATGTGACACTGGCACTTGTGTTTTTCGTGGGAGCGGAGGGTCACAGCTGCAACCTCTCGTCCTCGTCCTGCTCCTCCTCTCTGCTCGTCGCCGTCGTCGTCGCCGCACTCCTGGCCACGGCGTAATCTTGACGTCGCTGTCCTCCTCCTCCTCCTCCTTGCCCCTTGTGCCCCTTGAGCTCTTCCTGCTCTTCACATTTGTTCTTTATTCTCCCGCATCCTCACCTTTGCTCGTCCTCGCTTTCAACCCGTCGTCCTCCTCGTCATCAACCGTGCGCCCTCCCCCAACTACCAGCGGCGCGCACCAGAGGGGAGGCTCCTGCTCCTCCTCCCTCCTCCTTTTCCATCCTACTCCTTTCCCTCCTTCTCCTCCTCCTCTTCCTTCACCTCCCTCCTCTTCCTCCTCCCTCCTCCTCCTCCTCCTCCTCCTTCTCCTTCGTCCTCCTCCTCCTTCTCCTCCTCGTCCCTCCTCCTCCTCCTTCCTCCTCCTTTTCCCCTCCTCCTCGTCCCCCCCTCCCCCTCCTCCTAGTCCCCCTGTTCCTCCTCGTCCCCCTCTTCCCCTCTGTTCCTCCTCCTCCATCCTGTCCTTCTAACCCGTGCCACCGCTTTACACTTGCTGGCCCGACTGCAGGCCGGCGCGGATGAGAAGATGCATGGCGTTGACGTCCACACTTGCAACGTAGATTTGGCATCGCGGTTGTGCCTGCGCGTCGGTAGGCGGTAGGCCTTCCTTCCACTCTTCAATCATTTCGACTATCGGGGAAACGCAAGACTCGGGTTCGGGGCATTTTCTTGACCTGGCGGGGCCGTCCGGAAATTGACGAGACCCAGTCAAAATGTTTGCGCGAGCTCCCGCTGCACACATCCCACGGACGCTGCGCCGTCAAACTTCAGGACGTGCCAAGCAAAAAGTGTCGACAGTCCCGATCTCCAGCGCACTTGAATCATTACTGTGCCCCGAAACACAAACCGCCGACGTCCTGATTTGTTTTGCCTATAGTGCGTGGGACAGGGCGCTCCTGTCTCACTCGCAGGTGCTGCGGTACGCAGCGGGGTGCAGCAACACTCGCCGCACAACACTGCGAGGTCCATGCTGGTGCTGCACACCAGCGTGGTCGGGGCCGCGGGGGGATAATCAACGATTTGTGCCGGCAAGTCGTGCGTGGGATGCGTGACGATGAA